GAGCGAGGAGTCTTCTAGCGTTACAAATTTTGCCTGATAAGGAGAGTTGACCCCTAAGCGATCGAAGAAAGAGAAATAGACTTCCTCTTGCATAAAATTAAAAAGCTTAATTAAGATCTCTTCAGCCAGTTCAGCTAACTTGTATTGACTTTATCTGGTGTAACAAAAAAAAAAATTCAGCTGCGAAATGCCCCTTTTGTCCTCCTGCAAAATCTCTCATATTAGTCAACTAGCTTTTATGTTAAGAACTTGAAGTAGTATGTTTGTAGGAGTGAGGGGCAATCAAATCATGTTGTTGGGATTTTTTTTTCCATAAAATTTTTTGGAGACTTAGTTTTAGTTTAAATGTAATATAATTTCAAAATGCATATAGCATATATTATAATTTTTGTAAAATAGTTGAAATGTTTAATTTTTAGTGCAACCAGCATCCTAAAATATTTTTTAGTAGCACTCAATGCCCTAAGATAATGTTTAGTCAATCCAACATGTTATAGGATTTTTTGGTAAGAACTTAGTATCATAAGTTTAAAGTGATATTGGAAAAAATACTTTTCTTATGATAAAGATGTTAAGAATTTATTATAAACTATAAGTTCTACTAAAAATGCAAAAGTATGTTTTTGTCTTGAATTTTATTTGCTCTTTTGATTTTATAAAATGTAAAAACGTTAATTTTATCAAAAAATACAACATTTTGAATTTTTATAATTTCTTATTGACTTATAAATTATAAAAATTCAAAATATGGGATCTCACTGTAATTTTTCCTACATTATATCTAATTTGCCAATCAAAACTCAATATTCGAATTTTTTTATAATTTATTATTGACTTATAAATATGTGTTGAGATTTTGGTGGAATAATTAATTATAAAATATATATATATATATATAAACAAATTAACCTAAGTGTTATCTCCCAAGACGACATCGACGAAAAAGTGTACTCATATAATGATATAAATGAGGATTGGAACTGGAACTGGAACTGGAACTGGAAGTACCAGGCACGGAGTGACTGGGTGCTTTAACGTGGATGCTGATGTTGTGTCTTTTCACGCGTCATTAACGTTAGAATAAGAATATACTTTCCATTTAGAGTGGAAAGGTTAAATTTGATTTTAAATATAATTTCTTAATTTATTTTATCTTCTATTATTTAAAAAAAGTATCCTTATTGATTGTAATGACTTTTAACAAGAGATGATTATGGTTATTTAATGCATATTATTAAAGATGATAGCTTAGAGAAATCAATACATATTCATGACAAATAACTAATTTAATTAATTTTCTTAATATTCCTCTTGTCTTAAATATAAGACTTATTTTATAGTGTAAATTGTACTACCAAATAGGTCTTATATTTAGAATTAGAGGAGTACCCCCAAATTGATGATTTAGCTTTTATATTAAAAACCATATGTGTTAATTTATTGGTTTGATTCTTTGGATAAAGAATATTCTACAATTTTGATGCTTTAAAATATGAACATTAATAGCCTGTATATTGCATTTTATTTAAACATTTTTTAGTCCAGTAATTTTAACAGTATTAATTGTATTAGAAAAAATATCTATATTAAAATTTTACTTATTAACATATTGAGTTTAATTTTTTGAAAAAACAATGACTAATATAAAAAATGATTATCTGAGACTATAACAGTAATGGAAAATTGAAAGGAAACTCATAAAATTCAAGAGTCCAACTAAAAATTTTTATAAAATTAAAAGATTAAAAGCAAACTTTACTAAAAGAACAGCAACTATTTTGCCAATTAAAAAAAAAAAAACAGCGACTATTTTGCCGACCAAAAAAAAAAACAAGAACAAAAAAAAAGCAGCAACTAATCAACAATATGATCTTTCTTAGGACGGAATTTGCAAATTCCGTCATTAATTTCCTAAATAAAAGGGAAAACCAATCCCTGGGTCCTCATGCTTTCATGGAGTTTTTAATTAGGACCTCATGATTTTATTTTTATCAATCAACTCCCTGTTTTTTCCTCCATTAGAGCCGTTGCTCCTTGAAGAATTTATTAAAAACAAGACAAAGGACCAACGGAGTTAGCTAACGGTGTTGAAGGCGTACGTGAATGCTGAGAAGATTTGGAATTTCTTGACTCTGATATGAACAGAAAGAAGAGAGCAAATGGCCATCGGTTCGTGGGAGAGTTATACTCCAATAAGTGAGAGATCTGAGTGGAAATTAGAAATTTTATTGGTCAGGGTAGAAATTACGAACACAGGGATTTCACCAAAAAAGAAAACAACAACAACAAACAAATACAAGTGACTCTGATTAACATATTCTATATGTATATTTGTAAACAACGCATTAATAAAAAGGACAAGGGGGAATACAAATGTTCAGGACACTGCAAAGACAAGAAGACCCAAAAGAAAGACGTCCCTGCAAGGACATTCCATAAAATTGGAACGATATAGAAAAGATTAACATGGCTCCTAGGTAAAGATGACAAGCACAAATTGAGAAAACCCAAAAGAAAGACCACAACAAAGTAAAACAATACAATGTGATTTCAGAGTTACTTTAGCGACCTCCTTGACGACAACAATCTTAGGGAGTATGATTTGCTTCTGACAGGGCAATGTACTTCAACGATGGTAACCAACTTCAGTGACACTAATCTACTCCTATGATGACGGCAATGTGATTTCAGAAAATCCTTTTTGGTGACTGGAGGAACTTGGATTTAGTTTCACTGAGTGGAGGAAGTCAGTTTCTCCCTTTCTCCATCACATGAATACACTCCTTAGTTTTCAAAAACAATCAGGGCATTTTAGTCTTTACGTCAAAAGTGAAAATTCCAGATTGGTACCTTATACCCATTTGGTCATTTTGCTTATTTGGATGCCTGTTTTGTCTTTTTTATTTTCATATGGTATTTTGTGGTCATTTTTCTCAACCAAAAAAAAAGTCTATAGGGGTTGAAGATCATTCTTCAAATTCAGAAGATGACGTTGTAACAACAATTGCGGCAGTACCCCTAATTGTTATGAACTTAGACATGGCATTAAGATGGCAACAGGAACACCTATGCTTCTGTATATAGGCTCTAATGAAGACTCCTATAGTTAATATTAATGATACTAATAATCATGGTGACCTCAGTAGTGAAGAGGTTCAACTTGGTGATCATGTTAATCATTCAACATCAGTGAAGGTAACTTTGTCCCTACTTGAAATTAGTAAGGTTCAAGTTCATTCATCTCTTCAGTTTACTATACCGTCCACTTCATTGCTGAACTAGTCATTCTAACAATATCTTGTCCGTTGGAAAGGGTTTTGAGATACTTTCCGATACTTTCTAAGATTTGAATGGTCATTTTTGCCAAAGATTTTCTCTTTTGGTATCTTATATGTTTAAAGGAATTTCCCGACATAGGCATGTTACGCACTTTTCTCTCAGGATTTGTGTATCAATTTTAACTTGTCACAAGCTAAGTTCTTTAAGTGGGGAAGACATGATGGAGTATGAGATAAGAAACAATTAGGATTTAATTATATTAATTATGGTATATGTTAGGGATCTTAATAAGGATATTTATCCATTAAAATTAGGATTTATTACATTAATTGTCTTTTAATATTTTGCAATTATCTTTTTTGTCTTTGATAATGGGTGAGATATGATATAGGATTTTATTAACATATTATATTTCTAAAAGTATTATAAAAAGGGCTAGGATTTTTAGTTGTAATCAACTTTAATGATTGAATAAGAATTGATATTTCATGACCTTCTCTCCTCTTGTCTCCCCTTCCCTCTCAACTCCCCCTCTCTTCTCTTTCCCTCCTCTCTCTTTCACCTCCTTGTCCTGCATCAGAAAGTGTTCTGAAATTGAAGTGAAGAGAAATCAAGCAGTAGAAGATGTAATCTCATGGGCACAAATGGAGCTAAGTTTGTTGTAAGAGAGAAAACGTGATATAGAAAGAGAAAAGCAGGGTAAAGTAAAGTCATTCCACCCACATTTTGAAATCCTAAATTGGGTCTATGACTTAATTAGAAAGGATAAAGTAGCATGCAACACCCTGTTTTGTAGATACATCTAATATCATAATTTTATTTATAATACATCCACAACCTCGATATTAGTTTTTTAGTTACATCCAATACTTTGATATTATTTTATGATTTAGGGTGTTCAACACATTATAAATAAGATTATGATGTTAAAAATGCAAAGAAAATAACATAAAGACATTGGATATATTATAAATAAGATTAGAATACCAGATACACATGAAAAATAAGACTAGGGTATTGGTGCTACTTTTTCTAATCAGAAAATTATTGAATTTGCCAACCTGGTTTGGGATTTTATTAGTTCAATTGACTTTATATGGGATATTTTTCCTTGTCAATTTCTTTGTTTCTTTTAAGGTGGAATACATTAGCAATATTCCAAACAAGTGTGATTTGTTGATATATACATTCATTAATTCATTAAAGATAACAGGGTTAACAAAAAAAGTACCAATATTTCCACATACACATTACACAACAATGCGACCAAACTAAATTCATAATTTTTAATATCTTCAATCAGAACATTCAATTTGATGATAAATTCAAAACGAAATATTTATTTATATGAAAATAATAAATGGTCCCTGGAAATAAAAAATCGAATGGACTAGGGATGTAGTTAAAAAAAATTGTGCAGATAACAAATATATCTTACAATAAAGATAAACGAAAGCATAAGTAGCAAAAATGTGCATTACACAACAAAGCACCAAACAAAAATTTCACAATTTATAATATCTTCCACACTATAACAACAAAGACGACTGGCTCGAAATTCAAAAATTCATGCTATCTTGAGCGCTTGGTCCCTGTCCATCAAAATAAAATGAATTAGTGCACTATAAAAAATTGTGTAAAAGTTCGTAAAAGAAAATGTGTAAAGACAAACATGCATAAAACATATATACACAAGCCAAGTAAGCATACAAGAATCAGGTCTAATGAAAAGTCTCTGTTTCAATCATGTTGGCAATGGTTCTCATGGTCGGTCGAGATTGAGGGTTGGTTTGTATGCAGGAAAGAGCTATTTGCCAAATCAAAGCCAATTTGTTAGAGTTTTGGTGCTTCATTGATGATAAACGAGGGTCCAAAATATCTTCCAAGATGATATGGCCATTCCCACACATCTGAATACATGATATAAAATCACCAGGATGCTCTCCCATTAGCAACTCAATGGCCAAAACACCAAAGCTATACACATCAACTTTCTCAGTCACTGCCATTGTGTACGCAAGCTCTGCACAAAGTACGCAACAGGGAGTAAATAATGATTTGCAGAATAAATTATTTAAGAAGCATATTTATATTTGTTTTAATCATATTTACTCACCTGGAGCAGCATAACCGTATGTGCCAGCAAAAGTGGTCCAAATTGATGAATAGATTTTCAAGAACCTTGCTGTGCCAAAGTCTGAGAGATGGACTTCGAAGTTTGAAGATAATAAAACATTCTTGCTTGATATGTCTCTGTGAACAATGGCTGGATTACAATCATGATGTATATATGATAAGGCCTCTGCTAACCCCTTGATAATATGAGCCCTCTGTGACCAACCCAACTCTAATGCTTCTTTATCGTTTCTAAGCATATCAAATAAGCTCCCTCTTTTGATGTGCTCATAAATTAGAAATGTGTGCAATCTTTGTGAGCAGAATCCATACAACTTCACAATGTTTCGGTGGCGAGTTTTGATCATGGCTTTGATCTCATTCTCAAAAGCTTTTATATTCTTAATGTCTAAGCTATTTTCCTCACATACAAACTTTTTTATAGCAAATACTTTATCCTCCCCTGGCAATGTCAACTTGTAGACTTTTCCAAATGCCCCTGCACCTATGCAGTATTTCTCATGAAAGTTCTCAGTTGCTTCAATTATGTTATCATACATGATTTTGCCATCGAAGTGCCATATTGAGAATGGATTTTCCCTATTGACTCTAGCTTTTTGTTCTAAAGATCTAGAGTTTCTCTTACTTAGAATGACATAAATCAAAAGTAGCACAAACAAAACAATCAGTGCAGTTGCTATAGAAGTAGTAACAATTATCACAACTTTCCTTTTGTTACTTCCTCTAACTGGTTTTATAACCTTCACATTGCATGGTTGCAGACCTTGGATCCTCCCACATAAGTTTTTGTTGTGACTCAAATCTACTAGATTGGAAGAACTGAAAATCCCACTATCTTGTATTGGCCCCTCCAAATTATTGTAGGAGAGGTTGAGGATTGACAAGCTTTGCATTGTTGTTAGGGAACAATGGATAGGACCTGACAAATGAATTAGATTATACAAGCTGCATTTCTCAAATAAATTTTGCACTTATCCTTCTGAAGAGAGTAGGACCGTAGGGGGGCTCTTCCTTTTTTCTTTTTTGATTTTTAAATTTATATATATATATATATATCCACTCCTACAGGCACTCAAACATCACGGTCCTTGGCATTGACAGAATTTTCAAAGCTTTGAATTGGTACAGTGACGTTGAAAGCTTGAATAGATTTTTGTGGTGGTGGGCAAAATGCAAAATGATGATTCTAAATTTTGCTAAACACCTAACCCATCTTATGTGGTTCTGGAATACGGCCGAATTTTCTTTAACTTCTTTTTCCTTGCACTTGTATTTGAAAGTTGACGAAAAGTTGAGAAGCATATTGAAAAATTTTAAAATGTGGAATTATTTTCATGCACTATGAAGAAGCATGTGAACTGGATTCTATAGTGCTTTTAACATGGCGCAGAAATTTTTGTTAGACTACCAAACTAAGCTAGCTCATAGATTCCTGTACTGTTTGGAAAACTTTGTCCCCACATTATTATTTCCTTTTTTTTTACCAGCATTATAATTTCCCTTCATTGAATTCAAAAGCAGCAGGCCCAATGTCATTCTTCACATTCGAATACACGCATGTCTGCATTTAATGTTGCCAACTTTGCTTCAATTTTTTTTTTTCCATTTTTAAAGAGAGAAATTATATTAGCTGTAAGTTTGGTTTTTTCTAGAGGCTGTGAGAGATCAAATTTAGAATGTTATTTCCAGTGAGTTGTATTTACTTCTAAATTCAGAGTCATACCTGAATGAGGAGTCCTCTAGTGTTACAAATTTTGCCTGACAAGGAGAGTTGACCACTAAGCGATCGATGAAAGAGAAATAGACTTCTTCTTGCATAAAATTAAAAAAGCTTAATTGAGATCTCTTCAGCCAACTCAGCTAACTTGTATTGACTTTATCTAGTGTAATAAAATAAAAAAAAACTTCAGCTGCGAAATTCCCCTTTTGTCCTCCTGTGAAATCTGTTATATTAATCAACTAGTTCTGAACTAGAAGTAGTCTGTTTGTAGGAATGAGGGGCAATCAAATCATGCTGTTGGGATTTTTTTCATAAAATTTTTTTGGAGACTTAGTTTTATTTTAGATATAATATAATTTCAAAATACATATAGCATATATTATAATTTTTTATAAAATAGTTGTAATGTTTAATTTTTAGTGCAATCACATCCTAAAGTATTTTTCAGTAGCACTCAATGTCCTAAGATAATGTTTAGTCAATCCAACATGTTATAGTATTTTTTGGTAAGAACTTAGTATCATAAGTTTAAAGTGATACTGAGAAAAATACTTTTCTTATGATAAAGATGTTAAAAATTTATTATAAACTATAAGTTTTACTAAAAATACCAAAGTATGTTTTTATCTTGAATTTTATTTGCTCTTTTGATTTTATAAAATGTAAGAACGTTAATTTTATCAAAAAAATACAACATTTTGAATTTTTATAATTTCTTATTGGCTTATAAATTATAAAAATTCAAAATATGGGATCTCACTGTAATTTTTCCTACATTATATCTAATTTTCCAATCAAAACTCAATATTCAAATTATTTTATAATTTATTATTGACTTATAAATATGTGTTGAGATTTTGGTGGAATAATTAATTATAAAATATATAAACAGATTAACCTAAGTGTTATCTTCCAAGACGGCATTGACGAAAAAGTGTGCTCATATAATGATAAAAATGAGGATTGGAATTGGAACTTAGAGCACCACGCGTCGAGTGACTGGGTGTTGAACATAGATGTTGACATTGTGTCTTTTCACGCGCCAATAACGTTAGAATAAGAATATACCGTCCATTAAATAGCATAAAATTAGTTCAAAGGTTAAATTTGATTTTAAATATAATTTCTTAATTTATTTTATTTTTTATTTTTAAAAAATATCTTTATTGATTGTAAGGACTTTTAACAAGAGATGATTATAGTCATTTAATGCATATTATTGAAGATGATAGCTTAGAGAGATCAATACATATTTATGACAAATAACTAATTTAATTAATTTCCTTAATATTCTTTTCGTCTTAAATATAAGACATATTTTGTAGTGTAAATTGCATTACAAAATAAGTCTTATATTTAGAATCGGAGGAGTACCTCCAAATTGATGATTTAGCTTTTATATTAAACACCATATGTGTTAATTTATTGGTTTGATTCTTTGGAGAAAGAATATTCTACAATTTTGATGCTTCAAAATATGAACATTAATAGCCTGTATATTGCGTTTGATTTAAATATATAAAATTTTTTAAAATGTCTTTTTAGTCTAGTAATTTTATATTATTAATTGTATTAGAAAAATATTGATATTAAAATTTTACTTATTAACATATTGAATTTAATTTTTAAAAAAACAATTATTAATATGAAAAATTATTATCTGAGACTACAGTAATGGAAAATTGAAAGGAAACTCATAAAATTCCAGAGTCAAACTAAAAATTTGTATAAAATTAAAAGATTAAAAGCAAACTTTACTTTGCCGACCAAAAAGAAAAAAGAAAAAAAAGCAGCAACTAATCAACAATATGATCTTTCTTAGGACGGAATTTGCAAATTCCGTCATTAATTTCCCAATTTTTTTAGTAAATTTTTGCTTTTAGTAATAGTTCAAATTCAAACGTTAGGGCATATATATATATACACGCGCACACATATCTGTGTGCGTCATAAGTTCATAACCTTGCATTTATATATATATATATATATATACTGCAATAAATAAAAGGGAAAACCAATTATTGGGTCCTCATGCATTCATGGGGTTTTTAATTAGGACCTCATGATTTTATTTTTATCAAGCAACTCCCTCTTTTTCCCCATTAGAGCCGTTGCTCCTTGAAGAATTTATTAAAAACAAGACAAGGGACCAACGGAGTTAGCTAACGGTGTTGAAGGTGTACGTGAATGCCGAGAAGATTTGGGATTTCTCGACTCGGAGATGAACAGAAAGAAGAGAGCAAATGGCCATCGGTTCGTGGGAGAGTTGTAATCCAACAAGTGAGAGATCTGTGTGAAAATTAGAAATTTTACTGGTCAATGTAGAAATTACGAACACAGAGATTCCCAAAAAAAAAAAAAAAACAACAACAACGAACAAACACAAGTAACTCTGGTTGACATATTCTGTGAGAAAAATTTAGGTACTCTGAGAGTACCACCTCATCTGAACTCTACTCAATAAAAATGATTCAAGTTAATCTGTTGCATGTCAGCCTACTCATTTCTATTAATCTGTTGCTTTTAAAAAATAAAAGTGCCAAATGGATTGTGATTTCCATTACTGCCCTCCCTTGTTTGTTTCTCAATCCCTACCCATTTTGGGTCTCAAAACTCTCCCCCATCAGCAACTCAACACCAGCGATGTCGGCGACGTAATCCACTTGCAACCCTGGTGATTCTCGTTTCTACCAGGGTCTCTTACATGGTGACTTAACAGAACCCATCGATAGGTTGAATGGAAGACCATAGGTTGTAAGTCTTTTTCCCCTTTCCACTTTGTAGATCTGAATGGACAAAGCCGATTCTTTTTCATTGTCGCCTCTGCCACTTGCGATGCAGATCTGAACTACCAATAGATTTTTTTCTCTCCTCCCTTGTTCATTTTTCTGGGTTTTTCAATGTCCATGGGTGCTCCAAAATGGTTTCATATTTGTATTTGGTTTTTGCTGGAAATAAGATTTCTGGGTTCTTTAATGCTCATCGGTGGTTCGGTTTTTGGCATGGAACCTAAATCCTATTGTTTTCAATTTTAGAAATACAAATGAAACAACCCTTCCAAGAAATTGCAGATTCCAGCCAGTAAGTAAAATAATTAATGGCCTTCTCTTCATACAAGTTGAAGCTTCTGGAATGGAAATTAGCATTTATCTTTTATTTCTGAACTTGTTTGAGGAAAGATCTTTAATTCAATTCAAGAAATGCACACAAAATACAGAAGTTGGAGATCATTCATTCAAAAATCATACTGTATAGCATATGGTCAAGATAGGAAATAAATACAGAAGAGATGGCCACTTTCGCTAATGTGGAAGATTCCGCCACCGTCACAGAGAAATGAGAGAAAAAGGGGGCGATAAAGAAAGGGAAGGAGCTTGAGACGGAGATCAGGGAGAGAGAAGGATTGAGAAAGACGAAGGGGCCAGTAATGGAAATCATAATATCTTAGGCTTTTTTTTTTACGCAACAAATTAATAAAAATGAATAGACTAACACATGGATAGAAATTATCTGAGCTAAAGTATTTTTATTGGGTAGAGTTTAAATGAGCTGGAAGTCGATCTGGGAGCACCTAAGTATTTCTCCACATTCGATATGTATATTTGTAAATAATGCATTAATACAAAGGACAAGGGGGAATACAAGTGTTCATGACACTGCAAAGACAAGAAGACCCAAAAGCAAGACGTCCCTGCAAGGACATCCCATAAAATTGGAACGACGCAGAAAAGATTAGCATGGCTCCAGGGTAAAGATGACAAGCACAAATTGAGAAAACCCGAAAGAAAAACCACAACTAAGCAGAACAATACAACGATCGACAGGTCAAAAAGTCACAGGAAAGTACATTAAGGAGTTAATCAATTAATGCCTTGTGTTCCCTCATGAATCCGTCTTTGGCTCCAACGAAACATATCAACAACAGGTAACGTTTTATTTAGTTCTCAACTTCTTTCTCCCAACTTGCAGGGCCGGGAGACTGTGCCTTTCGGTAGTTGTGATCTTGAGGATATCCTGCATTAAAAAAAAAAGTTAAATTGCAATACGCGCAAAAATATGAAATAATTCACTGATCACAAGTATGAAGATCGGAAGCACCACGAGGAGCTCTAGCTAGAAAAGGAAGAAGCGACAGGACGAGCAAGAAAACCAGCCAGAGAAGAGAGTTCCCCT